TGGACTGTGGGAGGAAGCCGGAGAACCCGGAGAGAACCCACGCTGCACGGGGAGAACATGGAGACTCCACGCAGGAAGATCCCGGGTATCCTCACCGGGACGCGAACCGGCGACCTTCTAGCTGTGAGGCGACGGTGCTAACCACCGAGCCACCTGCAGCCCCGACTATTTACATTTTTACAGAAAGATGTTCCACCATGCTGGATGTATCCTTCAACAACCTGCTCCTCTGTTCACTGTTTCTGAGCCATACTGCATTTATTACATTGATCCAGTATGTTTGAGTTTCTCTCACAATCATTTTGGGTTTAAACACATTTTAGATAAATCTCAGTAATTTTGTACTAAATGTTTTTCTTTTTGGACAAATATACAATAACTTTGGACAAGTTTTAAGTCATATTGGAAAAAAAACTCTAATTTTGTTCTAATAATGATATATACAGAACTTAACAAATGTATTAGACCAGCACCCAGTGTCAGGTTTATGTTTCAGCTTCACTGTGTTCCCTGTAGGGTCTATAAGAGGTCATTTCATGTCATCAGCAGCACATGCAAAGGCCTGGAGTGGTTTCCTGCTTCTATTCAGGCCGTAGCACAACTCAGAAGCTGTCAGCTCTCACATAAAACAGAAGGATTATGTGAAGCCACAAAGGCAGCCATCTTGGCTCTGCTGGAAACTGGCATGAGTGAGAGACAGGAAGAGAAGAACCTGAAGATCTCCAAGACAGACGTTCATCACACCAAGAAACAACCAGCCCACCATGGTGCTACCACATTGCTAGCTGGTGGCAGCAGGAAATGTCTTCCTAATGAAACATCTTCCTACCCACGAGATGACGGTGCACTCATCCGTTTTGTGTCAGGAATCGTGGTCAGACTTCCAGAGACCTTAAAATGAGTGGTCACTGTGGAGACATGGGACTTGTTGGGCAGGGACAGTTGGAAACCGACTTGTTGAAGCTGGTCTGAAGTCACACAGAACACGGTAGAAGCCCTTCATCAACCAAAGGCAGAGGAAAGCCCGGTTACTCTCTGCTGGGATCACAGGGATTGGACTGTTGACCCNTCCCAAATGATTCAAAGCCAAAAAGAGACAAAAATCATCCACAAAAATGCACTTATGCATCACCTTTCTACCCGAGTGGTACTCAAAGCGCTTTACAGTGTGTTTCTCATTCACCCACATCCATCCACCAGCGGTGACAGAGCTGCCATCCGAGGTGCTGCCTGCCATCGGGAGCAACTTCGGGTTCAGGGTCTTGCCCAAGGACACTTGGACTGTGGAGGGGAGGAGATCGAACCACCAAGCTCGCAATCAGAGGACAACCTGCTCGACCACCTGAGCCACAGCCGCCCACTCACTTAAACACAGTGTGAGACACATAATGGCCGCAAGGAGACACAAAACAACTACAAAGAGACACAAAACAACTACAAACATACAACAAAGACATGCAAAATGACGTGACTAATGACTAATGCAACGCTATGACACAAGAGATGCATTAATTATCAGTTGCTGGTTTAGATGTTCTGAACATTTCTATTATTTCACACATCTGTTGCGTTATAATATTATCACCACGTTAGTGTGATCTGGATGCAGCTCTGCTTCACCGTCTGCTGTCCGACTGGGTTTCTGTCTTTGAACAGAACAAAGTGTGTGTGCTGACGGCGGAGTGCTGCACACACTCCTGCATTAGCTTCACTGTCAGTCGACCCACAATGCAACAGTTTCATCAGCAGCAGGAGACTCACATCTGAGGCTTCCTCTCGCAGACGGACGACTTTATTTCAGCCAGAAAACCCGACGTGCCGCTTAAACCGATAAAAACAATCAGTTTCTCGGAGCCTCGGAGGTTTCAATAAAAACATCATCGATTGTTTTCCTGCTGCGTGATCAATGATTCACTAAAATGTTTAATTTAAAACAACCAAACCAGACCAGCCCAACAGCCACACAGAGATACAAAGTTAGCACAATAATACATAAAATAACTGCAAAAAGACAAGAAAACATCTACAAATACACACAAAACTACCAAAAAGAGACGCAGAATAAATACAGAGACAAAACAAAGAGACAAAAAACAGCCTCAAAGAGAAAAGAACAACCACAAAAAGACACAAAACAGCCACAGAGACACAAAATGACCACAAACTCACATAAAATGACTGCAGAGATCACGTTAAACAAAACGTCCACAAATAGATGCAAACCGACGACTGAACAACCACAAAGAAACAAAAAACAACTTCAAAAAAGACATAAAACAGCCACAAAGAGACACAAAACACATCAAACAACAAACACATAAAATGACTGCCAAGAGTTTTAAAACAAAATAAAAGCAAGACAGTTTTTCCTCCGGCCGCGGTTTGTTTTAGCGCTTGTTTTGGTTCGTTGTTTGGTTTAATGTCTGTCGTTGTGTAGTCAGAGGATGTGAAGATGTGTTGAGCTGGAGGATCGCACACTTATGCAAAATCACAACAAACAAATTGTGTTTGTGTCTGGACAGGAGAGAGACAACTCGACTAGACAGAGAAGCACAACGAGCAGAAAAAGACAGAATACGACCACAGAGACACAACAGTGGGTCACTGTGAGGATTCACTGTGGGTGACACCCTGAATGACGACACACAGCATCTCAACAGCCCTTAAAAACACCAGATCAGATTAGATTGAACTTTATTCATCCCTTTGGTAGGGTACCTCAGAGAAATTGTTGCCCTGATACTTACCCTCACACTAATCGTATGAAGGTAAGTAAGTAGTTAAATATAGTACGGCTGTGGTCAACAGAACACCAGCTGAGTGTGAGGAGGTCGGGGAGGACTGATGGATGGTCTTCACACAGCAGCAGTTCAGTGTCTGAGGGGGTGTTAATGATGAACCCTCTGACCTCTCTGGTTTCCTTCATCGACTCCTCATGTGGGCTGATTGCATCCAGGAGGACTCGCTGCCTGGCCTCCACAGAATAATTACAGATCAGACCAAGGTTGACGCTTCAGTTAATCTGCAGGATTTAATTCGGCGTCTGATGCAGCTGCAGGACTGAAAATCGGTCACCTGGCTGCCTCCTTGACGCCTCACTGATTCTCCACTTTCACTCTGTTTTATCTTCTACTCCGAGTGTGGACATGTACCTTCAGAAGCTGATGAAAGACGTGCTCACTGAGATGCTAGCGGCGACTCACCGATGAACCCGAGCTGAGAGAACTCCAGGATCATCCACTCCTCCGACGGCTGCTGCAAGGCAAAGTTCTTCATGGTGGTGAAGTAGTTTGGTCGGGCGACGATGTCGTCCTCCAGCTGTAAGAAACAACATGACAGAGTAGCTTCATTACTGTGACTCTGATGGAGGTCGTGGTGTTGGGTTTAAAATGTAGTTTAACCTTCTGAAAGCAGGTTCTGGCTCATTTTTCACAACAACATAAAGTCCAGCGCCTTTATGGAAACAGAACAACATGAAGAAGGAGAGAGAATTCAGGGATGCCTTCTATCAGCAGGATGCAGTTAGAACGACAGAAATCATAAGAAACCAAAAAAAAATGTGTTCATTTTACATAAACTGAAAAGACCTGGAATCAACATGTCCAACATTTTTCCACAGAAGTTTCTGACACTGGAGAAAAAAAATAGAGGCTCCACATCTACATCTTTATCCTCACTGGGGTCGTGGGGGGCGGAGTCTATCCCAGCTGACTCAGGGTGAAGGCAGGTTCACCTGGACAGGTAACCAGTCTATCACAGGGCTACACTTAGAGACAGACAACCAAGCACACT